TGACAGATGGTGTTGCAGCTGACTGTCATGGTACATGATGTTTTGAGAATGTTTTTCCAAAAACTGTAAAATACTTGAAGGGTAGTGAGTGAGTCAAAAAAGGTAGCTTTCCCGTTCTTTTCCAGTGTTAAAGCTAACCAGTGCTCCCCGGCATATGTGCTGGATGTGTGTTAACTATGAAGTAGGCTGGGGGTCTAAAGGATGGATTCAGCAAGGGAAGTTGGTCGGATGCCCACACGCCGCAAAATACATCTCCCAGCAAACGATGCAAAATATTCTCTAATTGAGGAGTATCCATGTTTTTTAGTAGTTTTTAGTAATAATCCACTAGAACCTGTCTGTTAGGGTCGATCTCTAGAACAGAATCGTAACAGGCGTAGACGATGAGGGTAGTGGTTTGTGGCAAGGGTACTCTGAATCTCATCTCGATATTTTTGAAGGAATTCTGTGCACTGATCGGGGCCACTGTCAGCCTGTCGCCCTAAACACCCTGACCAGCTTCGCCATGGGACTCTCCCTCTTCCAGTGCGCCTATGGGTTCCAGCCCCATCCGTTTCCCGTCTTTTAAAATGAGGTTTCCTGCCCGTCAGTCCAGACCTTCATCCACCGCTGTCGCAGGACCTGGATGCAAGCCTCCTATGCTCCGCTGACCATTACTCTGCCACTGACAACCACCGCTGCTACAAGGAGAGTTTGGTTTGGTTCCGCCAGGGGGGCTGGCCAGAGGGCTCCGCGTCCTCAACCGTCCAAACCGCCTGGCGATGATGGCGACGACGATGTTGGCTCCTCCTCTGACGTGGATGAAGCACCCCCGAGTACCAAGATGGAGGTTGACAACTACTTCTCGGATGAGTATTAGCCCTCCTCCAGGCCAGAATTGAACATTATCGTTTGCAGCTTGCTTGCTTTGTTTGTTCCACGAGCTGAAATTAAAGGTCATTAAAGGACTGTCTGCCTGCCTAAGTTCCCTGCATTTGGGTCCTAAACTGACCCGTTACAGCAATGGTCCGTTCCAGGTGTAATGTCACAATGGAATGCTATCACCAGAACAAATTGTGATGTCACAATGGAATGGAATGTTCACATTTAAATCTGATGTCACAATGGAATGGTCACTTCCGATTGTGATGTCATCATTGAATGCAATGGTCAATTAAGAATATTATGTCACAATACATTGCAATGGTCGGTTCCAAGTGTGATGTCACAATGGAATGCTATCACCAGGTCAAATTGTGATTTCAGAAGAGAATGGAATGTTCATTTCAAATTGTGATGTCACAATGGAATGGAATGTTTACAACTAAAGGTGATGTCACAATGGATTTGAATGGTCAGTTCCAATTGTGTTACAACAGAATGCAATGTTGATATTCAAATTTCAGTTCCAAGTGTGCTGTCACAACAGGATGGAATTTTGACATTCAAATGGGATGGAATGTTGACATCCAATGTTGATGTCATAGTGGGATGCAATCGGAAGGTCATATTGTGATTTCACAATGGAATGGAATGTTTCTATCAAATCGT